CCTAAATCCAGACTGATGTTCAGTAAGCATGTTATTTTTAGTGAGATATTCATTGATTTGCTTGTACATCAAGGTTTCCAATACCTTGGATATTAAAGGCAATATTGCTATAGGACGATATTCATGGTTAGCTTTGGGAATTGGGATAATTTTCGCTTGTTTCCATGCACCAGGGAAGGTAGATTTAACAAAAATGGTTTTTAATATATATATTATGTAGGGTAGAATTTTTGGTAAGATTAATCTTAGTAGCTTCGGATTGATACCATCCATACCCTCAGCATTCGATTTAATTTCCTTGAATGTTGAAAGAACTTCAGTGTGTTCGACACATCTGAAGGAAAATTCATTTTCATTATGAACAATATTCAAGCGTGAGTAAAAATTCTCGGAAATGACGGCCAAGTTTGGACCAACGAATTTTAGATTTAACTCTTCAACGTCGATATCATTATTTGAATGGGATCTAAATTTGTTTCCAATGCCGATTTCTCGTATTTTCTTCCATTTACATTTGCTGCTTAATGCTGTTGAAAATTTGTATTTGTAGTAAATAGATTTAGCCTTTTGTATACAGCTTGTTACTTCACGTCTAAAAGATTTGAATTGTTCATAGAGCTCTGGTGTTTTGTATTTTTTCCATCGTTTGTAGCTATAATCTCTTTTATATATAATAACTTTGATATGATTATTAAACCATGGTTTCTCTTCATTCTTCGGTGAAAATGTTTTTAAGGGCACACATTCATCCAAAATAAGATAACATTTTTCTTGGAGAAACATTACTTGGTCATTTGCATTTGTCATGGCATAAATTTCATCCCAATAAATACTGAATAAGAGGTAATTTAAAAGGTTATAATTTGTTTTGCTAAAATCGCGATATGAAATGGTTTCATTTGTGATGATGACATCAATATCATAAACCATGTAAAGAAGGTCGTGTTTAGAAAACACTGGAGCTGATAGCTGATCATACAGTAGAATTTTTGATAATTGGTTAGAAAAAATAATGTCGATTAGGCTATTCGAACTAGTATGAAAATGAGTAGGATTTGTGGTGTTAACTGGATATAAGTCGATCATTTGAAACTCATCGGCTAACATATTTTCGAGCAGAATATTGCTGTTAAAATCGCCGCAAATAATAATATCATTGTATGCAACTGAAATATTTTGTAAGTCTGAAAGCAGTTCAGTAACTTCTGAATGTTTATTCGGTCTGTAAACGCAGACAATAAGACATTTTTGAGACATTTTTAGATTTAACTCCATGATGATATATTCATTCGGGCTCGAACTTTTAGATTTCGATATAACTTTACATTTAATGATCGCGTATCTTTTGCTTTACAGCAAAAGATACGCGATCCGCACGGAACAATGTATAGCCAGGTATATTATAGATGCTGTCTTGTACTTCGCAATGAAACCATGTTTCAGAGATACAAATGACGTCAACTCCCGAGGAAACGAAGAGTTGTTGAAATTCATCTAGTTTATTATTAAGACTTTGAGCGTTAATATGTACCAATTTGAGTCCATTTCGTTGTTTGGTGAGAACCCTTATCATGTTGAAGAGTGCGTCTTTGGAATTATATCTAGTATCACAGATCATATATCACAGTTAAAAAAGCAAGTTATTCGTGATGTAATTCAAGCGTGATAGTGTGATTTCTTGATATTTGGCTGCAAAACCCACAAGTGACTATCGTTAGAGCACTCCAGCATTTAAATGTGAATTGTGTCTCGTACCATAGCTCGTTACCGTGATACTGGTAGCGTAGCCCGACGTCAAGGAAGTGGACGGAAGAAAGCAGCAACATCAACAGAAATGATTCGAAAAGTAAAGAAGCGACTTGATCGAAACCCGCGTCGCAGTGACCGAAAAAAATTCGGCAAATATTGAAAAATGAGTTCGGGGTAAAGCCATTGAAATTCCAAAAACTGCAAGAACGTACACTTACAACAGAAAGAAAGTGGACTCAAAAGAGCTAAAGAGTTGCTTCGCTTGGTCCGATGAGAAAACATTCGTTGCCCAGCGGTTTGTAAACAAACAAAATGCTCGAGTTTACTTGCCAAAGAGGTCAGCTGAAAATGTGCACCATCGGCGGTTGGCCACCAGAACTCAAGCGCCGGCCATGGTGATGGTGTGGGCCGCCATAACAGCCGATTGTCGCTATCCGCTGGTATTAATCGACCGTGGCATTAGAATGAATGCCGAATATTATCGCGAAAATATTCTGGAGGGTATATTAAAGCCTTTTGGCCGCAGACCTTGGACATTCCAACAGGTCTCAGCTCCATCGCACTCGGCACGCGCAACCCAGCGCACAATGACCCCCCAACAATTCCGGATACCAATCCGTTGGACTATTGTGTCTGGAGTATTTTGGAAAGCAAGGTTGGCACTAAAAAATAGCAAATTGGCGATCACCCATGAGCAATATTTGGGCAGCGTGTGATAGTTTCATTGGCCGTTTGAAGGCCATAATTCGTGCCAAAGGTGACCAATTCGAACAAATCTAAACTTATTCTAAAATTTGATGGTATTACCGACATTTTTTCATTCAATAAAAATTAAAAATTATGCCGTTTAACTTTCTTGCAGTTTTTTTTTTATCTCAACCTGTATAGCCGACCCGCAACTGTAAAATATCTTCTGTACTCGAAAAAATTGATTTCTTCCACAGGGAATATTGAAAAACATACATTGGCAGAAGCTCCATATTTTTTCATCAAAGGCTGAGGATTTAAATTTTATGTGGAAACAAGTCCGTAAAATAATCAGAAAATTTCTTCTTATTGTCCATATTTGAGGAATCATTGTTCTACACATGGTTGAGGTTTTTTATCTAGTTCATCAAATAAAAAGTTCATCAAGTCAAAGTCTTGGGAAATTGAAAAAAAATTATAAAACAACCTCCCAGAACTCAAAAAACCAACCTTCAATATGTGTCGAATCTACCTCTAAAAGCCTAGGAGCTGATGCGAAACCCTGACAGGCTAAAAAAATTACCTCAATACTCAGAAACTACTTTCCATTAGTTTCCTATTTCCTGAGAAGCCGGATATACACAAAATTTCCGAAAAGACATGTGACTCCTTAGCGGAAGACCATACCAGATGAATTGATTGGAGACTCAGCTCGAAGTGAAGGAGTACAGAATGACCCAGTGGGTATTCACCGTCCTCTTAAGGCAGAGAAACAAGTTTGAATCCCGATGCCTACCTTTGAGACTCAGCTCAAAGTGAAGGAGAACGAAATTTCCTAGTGAGTTTTCCAATGAGACCTTCAGAGGCGGTAGATAAGTGAATTATCAAAATCCATATCCAGTGAGCGTTTTAAATCCTAGTGAGTTATCCAAAGTAGAGTGATAACATTTGAAACGAATTGTACGTTTGGGACTCAGCTCGAAGCCAGGCCAGCAGAGGCAGAGAAAAAAGGCTTCGAATGAGCCTTGTTAAACCTTGGGCGTTGTTCGAATAAAAGACTCAGCTCAAAGTAATGGATAAGCGAATTCGCCAGTTAGTTACCACAGATTGCTGGAGACAGAGAGAGAGAGAGTAGTGACTTGACCAAATCCACTTCCTCTGAGTTGTAAAACTCAGAGATTTGTCCCAAGTAGAGTGACAAAATTTGATGTCTACATTTGAAACTCAGCTCGTCGCAGTAAATGAGGGCGGAATTTCCCAGTGAGTTGCCATAATCCTCACCACCAGGGTCAAATTAGTGATTTGCCAAAGGCCACTTCCGGTGAATGTTTTAAAACTTAGTCGGTTGCCACAAGTAGAGCGACAATATTGGAACCTTAGGACTCTTCGCATTGAAGGAGGTAAAAGTTTTCTAGTAAGTTTCCAAAACCCACCCGAAGAGGAGAAAAGTGTTGTCAGAAGTCCCCTTTCGTGATCGATCGTTGTAGACGTTAAGATGGTGGAAGGAATCTCCCAGTGAGTTTCTAGAGTCAATCTCTGGATGTCAACACAAGCCTGGAGAGGCATACGGACCTTCTCCACCTTATACAGGAAACCGGCTCCTTTTGCCTTAGTCAGGAGAGTATTCCGATTCCGATTTTCCAAGCCATATTCTAGTTTCACAGGTGTGTGTGTAGTTGGGTATTTCGGATTTTCAGAATATAGACGACATTTTCGCAAGAAAATTGTATATGGACGGCCTCTTTTTTCAAGTATCTCTTCGTATACGATACTTCGAAGTTCCTAGGCCTTTCTTGTACACCAATTTCTGATTCTATGGGGTAAAGAATCTTTCTGTTGAATATAAAAATGCCGAATAGGAGCATATTCATTCCAACCAAAGTGACTGCATTTTGCCTCGAACCGTTCGATCTTAATGTGGATTTTTCTATTATTCCTCTCTATCCTCCTCTAAAAAATAATTTTCTTTTTAAATAAAATTTATAATTTATATTTTTTCTCTTCTTCCTTTTCAGATTTTTTTTAATACAACGGAAATGTGATGAATAATATATAAACAAAAACGAAAATTGTACACAAATTGTAATTATTTCTGACAAAGAAAAGCAGAAGAAAACTTTTTGTGGAAAAAAATCCTACCCTGCATGCGTATCTTCCGAACTGATTTCCAGAGAAAAAAATAAAATATTTGAGTCTATGAATAAACAAAATATTCCAAGAATTCCTGTAAGCAAAAGCTAGAACAAAAAAATGTGTGCTCCTTACCCTTTCTTCCCGGTCGTCTTCGTCGTCGGGTTCTCATCTCTCCCGTTGGTTTGTGATACATTGTCATTGCCGTAATGACATTTGGAGAATTACAACCCAGCTATGTCTGTCATGGCCATAAGAAATTCTGCACACAAGCAAACGGTAAATGCGAAGCAGCAGTCGGCAGTCAGCAACAATAAATATACCTGCAACCTACAGTAATCATAATAATCGGTTTTTGAAAATCCAGCAACAGCAGCAGTAGGGTCTGCCCAACAGAAGTTGCTAGAAGTTCCGACATCATCATCATCATCATCATGAATGCGATATCTGGAAATTATTCGGGCAACAATAATATGAATGCCACAACGACAATGACAACAACTCCTGCCTCAGCTTCATCTCAGGCAGTGACGAATTCTCAGCCCGTTGAAGATTTCTATCAGACCGTACAGAAAAATCCAAATAAACAACAACAACTCCAGCAGCAGCAACATCAGCTACATAATAACTATTATCAGCCACCTCCTGCCGTGGGCAATTCTCAGCAACATCATCAGCAGCCGCAGCAGCCACAGTACAACACTCAACATGCAACCGCAACGGGTTTGGCCACATTTAACGGAAATTCAAATTTAGAAAATCCCATTGTAACCAATGGTGGTGGTGCTGGTCAGAACAACAACCTAATCCACAACTCAAATTATAACAACGGTAATTCAAATCAGCAGCCACCTCCCCTGCCGCCCGCCAACAAAATAGGCAACCATCAAGCTGCAGCCGCAACCTCTACATCCTCCTCATCATCTCCGGTTGTTGGTCTGAATGCCATTGGCAAAACGGATGCAATTTCTTCCTCTTCATCGTTGTCATCATCGAATAGTCTACTTAGTGGTCCTGCTGGCCTTACTTCCGGCTTTGCCAAGAAACAACAGCAGCAGCAACAATTACATGCTTCCCGAGAGGATGTTACCAATGTTGGAAATGGTGGTGGTGCTGGTGCTTCTCCGGCTGGCGCTAATAGCCAATCTTCAACTTTAATGAATGCCAATAATAATAATCAATATCAGCAGCAGCAACAACAACAACTGCCACAATACCAGCAGCAGCAACAGTCCCATCTACCGCCTCAAACTTCTCATCATCACCAGCATCCTCCTCAACAGCCCTCAATGGCTAATGGAATTGGGAATAATACCAGCAGCAGCTCAAATAGTCAACATAATCTCAACAGCATTCTGAAGGGCAGCAAAGGTAAGTTTGCGGAATTTTAGAGACGACATTTACACACAGTCGCTGAATAGAAGTTGAAAAGTATAGAAGTATAGATTTCGAAGTTGTCCCTGGAAATATTTGAATTATATATTCCACCCATCCACAAAATTTATAAACCGAATAAAAAACTATTGTTCGAACGACATGAATTACAGGTTCCAGGATATTTCAATTGATCCTCTATGTTTTCTGCATAATTCTGAATCATGGCGTAACTAAACCTCCATATCAGAGGAGAGATAGTCCCTTGATCTTGGGGATACTCCAGGTTAATGTTGAGAACTTTATCTTCAGATACTGATAAAGAACTCAAGTAGGAATTTGTTTCAAGGTTTCGGATCCGTATGGCTTTCTGAGCTTATCAGACTCTATCTAAGTAGGATAATACTTAGTTGGCATATGACAACGATTGTTCCATAAGCGGAGCTTAAAAAGACTTCCAGGTGCGTCGGTCCTGTGCGCATCTCATCCAAGATGTTGTCTTCTACTTGATCTTTCCATCGAATTCGTGGCCTTCCCCTTCTGCGTGAACCATCACTTGACTCGCTTTTATAAGCCTTTTGAGCTGGGGCATTCTCACCCATTCTCACAAGATGGCCTAGCCAACGTAGTCGCTGCAGCTCGATCCGTCTGACTATATATTTGTCCGAGAAGAGATGATATAACTCATGGTTCATTAGACGACGATATTTACAGTCAACGCAGATCGGACCATAGATCTTTCGGAGAATTTTCCTCTCAAACACTCCAAGAGCTGCCTCATCTGCTTGCGTAAGTACCCATGTTTTAGATCCATACAAAAGCACGGGTAGTATCAGCGACTTGTGGAGTGTGAGTTTGGTCTGGCGGGAGGTGGCCTTGTTCTTGTTCAGACCATAGTAGCATCTGTTGGTCAACACTATTCTCCTCCGAATTTCAAAACTGATGTCATTAGTTTTGTTTATGGTGGTCTATGCGAGTTACATTTGTTGCTTGGTGTGCAGAGTATCAATTCTGTTCACCTTTGCCTCTCGTATGACCCTTTCCAGCAGGATGTTAAACAGGTCACACGACAAACTGTCACCTTGTCTAAATCGTTTGGTATTGAAGGGTTCTGAAATTTTCTTCCCAACATTAAAAGCTGACCTTGTGCCAGTTAAAGTAATCCTGTATAGCCGTATTAATTTTGCAGGAATACCAAACGCAGACATGACTTTAAACACGTCTAAGGTCACCAATTGGGCTTACGAATGCGGCTTTGTAATCGACGAATAGTTGGAATGTGTTGATGTATATTTTCGTGGGTTTTTCTCCAGGATTTGTCGCAGAGTGAAAATCTGGTCTATGGTGGATTTGTCAGCTTAGAAGCCACATTGGTATGGTCCAATAATGTTACTAACCATTGGCTTCATTGACCATTGGCGCTTTATATGCGATGGGAAGGAGACTAATTTCTCTATAGTTGGCACATATCGTCTTGTCTTCTTTCTTTGCACAGGATACTGATCTTCCAATCATTGGGCATGTATTCCTCTAGCCAAATTATAATAATCAGCATGCTCCTGACCAGTATTTGACCACCGGCCTTGAATAGTTCGGCTGTTAATCCATCGGCCCCGGCTGCTTCGATATTCTTTATCCATTTAATTGCTATTCTGACCTCTAATTGGTTCTGGGGTATCTTCTTCGTCGTTATTATTTGATACCGGAAGCTTTGCAAAATGCTCCTCGCAAATCCTCAGCACGCTGTCTGTATCTGTCAATTTGAGGAAACTTTAGATACCAATGAAATCCACTACTGAGAGAATGCAGATTTTATTCGCAATGTCTGAAATGTCTGGTTAAGAGCATTCTCACCTCGATGGTTGCTGATTAACTCCACAATGACTGAGGATTCTCTTCTCAGTGGCCTAGAAATTAATCCTAAAGGGCGGATTCCTCTATGAGGATTCTATCCTCAATGGTTAAGTGTTATAATTACAATGGCTGAGGAATCTAACACAAATTGCAAAGGCTTCTCTCTTAAATTCCTGCAAATTCCATATTTTAGCGCTAAAGATTTCGTCCTCATTGCCGGAGATTTCAATCATTAGTTCCTAAGGATCGTATTCTCAATGGCTGAAGGTTCAATTTACTTAGACTGAAAATTCAATCTTCTATCCCTTGAAAACTCCTTCCTAAAATGCTGCTTAGGCCTGTTCATTCAGATCATTCAGATAGAGTCGTAATCTCTGAATGAACAGGCCTAAGCATCTAAAGATTCTACTTTACATTACAAAGTTTTCTATCTTTATATCCCGAAAATTCCATAGTGCCTGAAAATGTCACTCTCATTGGCGGATGATTCACTCATAAGTTGCTTTCAATAGTTGCGGATTCAATCCTCAACTTCTGAGGATTCAATTCCCTTGACTGAGAGGTTTAAATTTATTGAGTTCAAGGTTTAGTCCAAAATAGGCATGAATGAGGATTATTTTTTCAATTAAATGGTATTTTACCACTTATGGTGGCGCAGAATACAGTTATTAATGGTTGCGGAATAGATCCGAGAAAACAGAAAATATTTTTCATGCTATGCGATGAGGAAAAAATTCTTTTCAGATGTCCCAAAACACACTGAGTATTTTCTATCTCCGATAGAAATAGAGCCGATACAAAAGTCCCACTAATTAGACCCACTAATTTTCTTCATTAGTCAATTTATTTTTAAATTGAAATGTCGCCTATTCACTTTAGACTTTCTTCAAGGGCCCAAGAATATAATTGACATATTTACATACATAAATATAGCACTGTGTTAATTAGGTATTTAATTTACATATGTAAATTGGAGGCATTATGTATTAGTATGTATGTATTAGAATTTACAACACACATATGTCAATTGCCTACTAAAATTGGTTTTGAGACCACGTTCTTCAAATGGCGCGTGACAATGTTGGGTCATTTATTTCTAATTTAGAAATGCGTGCCTTTGTAATTTGCGATTCGAACAGTGATAATTTCGAAAATTAACTATGTGATAAACTATTCATGCTTGGCGGAGGGTCAATAAATACGATATTCAAATCAGTAGACAGTCAGTCATGTGTTCCGAAGCGGGTACTATTTACAGCTCACATGTATGTGATTTCATAATGAAATATATTTTTGGATCATTTGGGGAATTAGAGTTGATGAATTTCAACACAAATATTGCTGAATGAGTTACCACTGCTTATACGATTGAAATTAGGGAAAATTTTGATTTAATTATGAGCCCTCAGGTCATTGCAAATAATGGACAGAGAAACATTAGCATGATCAGAATTAAAATTTGATTTTTTTAAATTAAATCCAAGTCTTCAGGCTGTGTCATTCCCATTGAGATGTTTCTTCATAGTCTGCAAAGTTTGTTTTAAACTTAAATGTTGTACCCCTATAATAATCTCGGTATTGCAACCCAATAAATAATTAACCCTAAATTGAGGTTATCATGAAATGCGAATTCTAACTCAAAACGCTTTCCACTTTAATCTTTAAAGGACAATGGTTCAATTCTGAACGATTGAGCATTCTATCTATTGAGGTTTGAGTACTGAGTAGTTAAGAATTCTTTTCTTTAGAGATTTCATCTCTAATGGCTGAGGTTTCCGACTTTACTGGCTGAAGTTTTAATCTTCACTTCCAATCACAATACTTATTGAGAATTCCATCCTAAAAAGCTGATCACTCTATCCGCAAAGGCTGATGATTCTATTGTCAAATGCTGAGAATAGTGACCTTAATTGCTTAGGACTATACCCTCAATTCTCGAGGATTGTAATATCTACGTTAGATTTCATACCACCTTCAGTTACCAAGGAATCTCTATTTAAATCCTAGGGTTCCAAAATTGTACCTGAAAATTGAAATTGTCTGAGTTTCCTATCCGAAATTACTGAGGATTCAATTCTCTGAGAATGAGGATTCTATTATTATAGTCAAGGGACTTTGTTACCGTATATGCATTGTGTAGTTGTAATGGATTTTCTCTATCTCATAAATTGAGATTACTTTTCCCATCGGCTGTATTGCATTTTCATAAAATGAGGTTTATATATACATTGCCAGAATCAGAATCGATCTTCTATGAATTCGATCATCATAGATTATTGAATATAGCCCCTTGGATTAATGATTCGATAATTTTAGACAGATGATTATATTATATATAAATTATTCTACCCTGTCTACATACCAGAGATTCCATCCAATGTATTCGAGATTCTATTTCCAACGACAGGGGTTTTGAATGGGGGGTGAATGAGAATTATTTCCTTTAAGAATTTAATTTCTTTGGGAGGAGTCTATCATAGTGTCAGGTTGAACTGAGGATTCTAACCTCATATTGTCTGAATCCTTCCTCAGACACTAAGAACGGAGCACTGGGCAATATTAAGTAAATGAGAATTATAGACCTTCCTCAATGAATTATCTACCGAACTTCTTTTCTTATGGACTACCTATCCTCATGGGCTGATTATTATTTTTTTCCTGAAACTTAAACAATATTTTTGTTATCGTGAATGAGAATTATTATCTTTATGAATTTTAAGAAAATATCTTTGCTCGTTCACGAAACATTGAAATTTCTATATACTGAGAAGTTTTTTAGTATTGACAGAAAGAATTATTCGCAAGAACTACGGATTTTATCCTCAGTGTAAAAAAATTATCTCCATGGAAAGGGCACTCAATTCTTAGAGGCTGAGGTGGAACTGAGGAAAGTTTTTATTCGCCTCCACTCAGGAGTCTATCATAGTTTCAAGTTGAACTGAGGATTCTATTCCTCTATTATTATCCACTAAACTAATTTGGTGGATTCCTTCCTCATAGACTGAGGTATCCGTCCTCAGACACTGGGAGCGAAGCACTAGGGCAACCTTTTTTTATGTGAATGCGAATTATTGTCTTTCCTCACTGAATTATGTATCCTAACATATGTTCTCATGGACTGAGTAATCCCATCGATTGAGGAG